AAGTCGACTGACTGGAAATTCTACAACAAGAAGGAAAGAGAAAACCAGAGGGAAAATCAGAGGAGCTGTAAAAGCCTAAGGTACGGAGACATGCTGTGCGCGTGGAGAGGACGGAACCGGAGAGGAGGTGGAGTCTGAGTGCCTGGCTGGCGTTCCCTAGCGGGAAGGAGATAAAAGCTCCGGGCTATGCTGAACCCCAGTTCCGACTGCTCTGAACCCCATTCCTAGGCCAGACCCCGGGGACCCAGGCTCATGCAGAAACCCGGGGGAGCGGCGAAAGGCAGAGCCCCCGGAGGCACGCACATTGTGCGCAGAGAAGGGACGGTTGGCTGTACCACAGGATTGCCCTGGCGGGAAGGAGACAAAAGCTCCAGACTGGGAAGAGTGCCATGAGGAGTGGGAGCCACTTCTGTGGCTGCCGCTGCCGGGCGCCAACAAAGAGCTGGGCGACAGGGCCCCCGGGGGGGAGGTGCCGCTGGGCCCTCTACTGCTGATTGCGGGCCACGGAGCTGAGGCCGGGGGCTGCTTCCTGGGGGGCGCTGACCCCGGCAATAGGCTGACACCACGCAGGAGGCCACGGAGAACAAAGAGGCGCCGTGGGCCAGCCTGCTAAGCTTCCAGGACGAGGAGGAAGAAACCGAAGAAGTTTTCAATGGGAAGAAGTCAAGTTATAGCAAAAAGATAGTAAAATTACTTAAGAAAGAATACAAAAAAGATCTTGAAAAATCGAAGATTAAGACAGAGCTCAAACCATCAGCCAACATTGTAACATAAATGCATTTAAAAAAAAAAAAAAAAAGACAGAATGTTGGAGAGGCTGTGGCCAGGCCCAGAGTGGCCATGCCTGGGGCGGCGGCGGCCAGACCCAGAGCAGCAGCATCCAGGCCCGGAGCAGCCGGGCCCGGAGCAGCAGCAGCCAGGCCCATAGGAGCAGCGGCTGGGCCCAGAACAGCCAGGCCCGGAGCAGCTGGGCCTGGAGCAGCTGGGCCCGGAGCAGCAGCAGCCAGGCTCAGAGTAGCCAGACCTGTAGCAGTGGAAGCCAGGCTCAGGGCAGCAGCAGCCAGGCCCGGGGCAGCGGCAGCCAGGCCCAGGGCAGCCAGGCCTGGAGCAACCAGGCCTGAAGCAGCTGGGTTGGGAACAGCCAGGCCCGGAGCAGCAACAGCTGGGCTGGAGCAGACAGGCCCGAGGCAGCAGCAGCCAGGCCCGGAGCAGCAGCAGAAGCCAGGCCCAGAGCAGCCAGGCCGGGAGATGCATGGCCCGGAGCAGCAGCATCCAGGCCCGGAGCGGCAGCAGCTGGGGCAGAAGCAGCCAGGCCCAGAGCATCCAGGCCCGGAGCAGCTGGGCCCGGAGCAGCTGGACTCAGAGCAGCCAGGTTGGGAGCAGCCAGATTGGAAGCAGCCAGGCCCGGAGCAGTAGCAGCCAGGCCCAGAGTAGCCAGACCTGGAGGAGCGGAAGCCAGGCTCAGAGCAGCAGCATCCAGGCCGGAGCAGCTGGGCTTGGAGCGACAGCAGCCTGGCCTAAAGCAGCCAGGATGGGAGCGGCCAGGCCCGGAGAGGCCAGGCCTGGAGCAGCTGGGCCCAGAACATCCGGGTCGGGAGCAGCCAGGCCCGCAGCAGCAGCATCCAGGCCCGGAGTGGCAGCAGCTGGGCCTGGAACAGCTTGCTCCTCGCCTGCCCATGCCCCAGGGCAGCCTCTCAGACATGGCTGGAAACTTTTGGGGGAACTTGAGGGTCTGCTGAATCAAGTGATGAAGGCTTAGATCTGGATGTGTTGAGTTGTTGTAGTGCTGGGGTGTTGATCTGTGAGTGCCTAGTGTGGGGTATGGATGAGGTTGGTTGATCTATTTGGAAGTGTCTTTTGTGTGAAGTGTATCCTTGGGCATGTGGAGATATTATTGATTTGAGAAAATGCTAAGTAATTGATTTGCTACCTGAAAAATTTAAAGTTCTAAAAGTTTAAGGTCTCTTGCCAAAAAGAGGTTTTAAAGCTAACACCTTAATTTTAATGGAGAAAGGGGAGGACATGCCCTTCCCACCCAGAACAGGTACTCCAATTCCAGCCAGCAGCTATCTTTAAACAATGTGTTCATTTACATTTGAATGGCTACACCTTTTGATAGCCCAAGGGCAAGTTTACATGTAAACAAGTTTGCTTCTCAGTTCCCAGGGTAGAAAAAACAAGGTTTAAAATTATTAGATTTTAAAATTTATCCTTAAAAATATATGTTTATTAATTTTTTAAAAATCCAAGGAAATTAGAAAACCCGATGAACCATATTAACTGTTGATTATAATAGAATCAGAGATACGGGAGGGGAGTGGATTGACAATTCTCGGGGGGGTGGGGGGGGAAGGGAGTGGTGCATGTGGGAAGAGACTGAACATAAATTGTGCACCTATGGATGAGGACAATGGGGGGTGGGGAAAGGGCAGAGGGTGGGGTGGAAACCTGGTGGAGGGGGGGGGAAATGGGGAATTTTTGTAATAATATGAACAATAAAGATTGATTAAATAAATAAATAAATAAATAAAGGTCTCATTTTCACCATGAGAAAAATAAATAAATAAAATAAAATGTGAAAAAAAAAGAAAGAAAAGAAACATGATGAGAAAGAAAAGAAACATCAATCAGCTGCCTCCTGCACACCCCTGTGAAAGAAAAGAGCCACATGCTAACCTGACAAGCTCAGGGAAGGCCTGTGTGGCAGTCTTGCAAACCCAGAGAAGTAAGATAACCACAAAAGATGGTTTGAAAATTAAATATCTAACAGGTTATAGTAGGTAGACATGTCCCAGATATTTTTCCAGACAAAGATCAACTTTGAACTTTTTACTGAGCCCATTAGCCTTTTTGCCTCTAAGATAACATATCTATGAGATGTCTGGGTAACTTGTAACTTCCTTGTAACTTCCCTTTTTCCGGAGCCCCTGGGGCACAACCTAATGTGGTGAGCACCAGGACAAATGCCTCAAATTCCTTCGTTATCATGTTAATTGTTCCTACACTCACCTGAGTACATGTCCATCATTTTACTTTTTATCCAATCCCAGGAGTTTCCCACCACTTTGCTTTCTCCCGCCTCCTTATTCCATCACCAATGAATTTCATGTAACTCACCTATGTCCCTCCTTTGATTTCAGTGTATAAATAGAGAAATGTAACCCGCCATTCTTCGGAGCATTATCTCAATCTGTTGAGGTTCTGCTTCCCGGCATATGTCGACAGTAAGGCTCAAATAAACTCACAAAAAAAATTCTTTACAGGTTTAAATGTGTGTGTTTTTTTTTTCATTAACACCCCCCACTTGGGGATGTGCCCGCAACCAAGGTTGGAATCGAACCTGGGACCCTTGAGTCCACAGGTCAATGCTCTATCCACTGAGCCAAACCAGTTAGGGTGGGAGTGAAAGATTTTTACTAGTTCTTTTTAATATTTGTCAGTTCTGTTCATTATGGTTATTATTATCATTAGTTATTACTATCAGCCTGTTAGGTTTGATCGAGCAATTGAATTGATACCTCTCAACCAGGAACTGGTTTTCCAGGTCATTTCACTATGGACATTCCCTTTGCTGAGACCACATTTTACTTGCAGTGACCACATTCCATTATCTTCCCTATAGGTATGCATAAAGAAGTCTCTGCCCAGATAAAAAGGCCACCAAAAGTCCTTAAAAAGCCAATGACTCCCTTTGTTGTAATGTACCCCACGAGTAAATACTCAGGACTCAAGACCAAATTAATGAGTCATTTCATCAATAAAGCCAGCAACTGAGAGGGAGTTATGTCTCCAAATCTCACAGTCCCAAAATGGTGGCAACATCAGGCTTATATAGGCAAATATCACAAAGGTATCAATTACATCTTTAGGTTTGGAATGAGGAACCTGGTTTGCAAAAATCAGTTACAGAAGCTATATTGAGCAAGTTAGTTATCTACAAAGATTAATTATAGTTTCGAGTGTCGGGACCACTGAGTCAACAGAAACACATTATCTGGAGCCACTGAGGCAATTTAGAGTAATTGTGCTGTCCTGGTCTCCAGATGCAGAGGAATGTGTTTCAAAAGACCAGTAAGATCATAATCAATGGGATATTCAAACCACAATTAATGGAGTATTGAATCAAATGGGATAACTTATATAAGTTCAGAAAATCAAAATAACTTTTCTATTATTTTAGCAAGCAAATAAGCACAGAAGCCAGAATCACAGGGTTAAAAATTAAACAGCAGTTTTTACCCAAGATGATTCCTACCTAGCAATTGATTGCTCCTCACTGGATGCTGGAGCCATCTAGGCTCAGCCATTTGGTGGGCGGTGTGTGAATAATTGGATAAATTCATAATCCCTCCCTACTGTGGCATTCTTCCTTCTGCAACCAAGGATGGGGAGCCATTGTCCCGGCTTCGGTCACCCCGAGTAGACAGTGGCAGCTGGTCCTGACTGCCAGCCTTGATTAGGCCTTCCTCCCTTATGGAGTCCCTCCCAGCCAGCCAAGGAGGACGCCTGACTAGGAATCTCTCCTTCTCCATTGCAGACCCTCACCTAGAGAAGATTGGCCGGCGTGACCCTCCATCCCACACTGGCCAATCTTCTCTAGGTGAGTGACTTTCCACAAATTCCTCATCTGCAGTCTTATGCCCCCTCTATCTCACTGACTTTTAGAAAGTCTCTTCCTAGCCTTAGGCCAGAAGACTCCTCAGCCATTTGGCTTTGGATCCTTCTGGATTGGGGCCATCCAATCCAGAGAGTTACCAATTACTTCTCATGGTGACTTGTTTAGCAGTAGGGACACCTGCCCTAAATAGTCACCTTTGGATTTGTAATATATCACTCATTCTTCCTCTTTTGTGGGCCACGCTACACTCATGGGGGAGGTCATGCCAAACCACTTCACTTTATTTTGTAATACTGTTTGGCCACAACCTAAACTAGATAATAAGTCTCAATGGTCTGACAATGGCACTTTCAATTTTAACACACTGAACAATTTAGGTAATGGAAAATGGTCAGAGATTCCCTACATCCAGGCCTTTTTCACTCTTCAGTCCCAATCCTCTCTCTTAGTCCTGCTCTAGCCATCAGATCTTTCTCCTTCACATAAAACATCATACCCCTAACAATTCTGATTCTGAATCTACTCTTGACCCAGCAGACCACCAACCTATACCCCCCTTAGAAATCCCCTCCCTCACCTGTAGTAGATTCCCAAAACTCAGACCCTCTTAACCAGCAACCACCTTCCCCCCTCAGAGCCCAAATCCTGAGAACAAGAGCTCCAAAACAGCCCTTTCCCACCTAACATTCACTCTCAAGCTACCCAAAGAATGCCTTCCTCAACAGCCACTTCTGTTCCCTCCCCATTCTATCCCTGAGGCAGCAGGAACCGAGGGCATAATCTAAGTCCACGTCCCATTCTCTACGTCCAGCCTCACACAGATTGAGAGACATCTCAGGTCTTTTTCCATGACCCAACCACCTTTACTAAGGAATTTGAGTACCTGACCCAGTCCTATGTCCTGACTTGGCATGACATCTATGTCCTCCTATCCTCCTCTACAGAACTTTATCACCTTAGAACCCACTTCCCCAGAGGAAATCCTTCTTCTGAACATACATTTTATACCCCAATCAGCCCCCAACACACACCATAAACTCTGAAAAATAGACCCAGGTCCAAAAATCCCTCAAGAAGACCTCGTTAACCTGAAATTTAAGGTTTTTAATAATAGAGACAAGGAGACCCAAATAAAAAAACAAAAGGCAAGATCAGGCCAAGGCTGATGCCCAGAAGGTCTTCTAGCTCCTAGCCACCTCTCTCATGAACCCCAAAAGAAGTGCCTGTCCTCCAACCAAGAGTAAGTCAGGGGCTAATCCTCCTCTGGGCCCATGCTTCAAATGCAGCAAGTAAAGACACTGAGCCAAGTCCTGCTCAAACCCGAAACCCCCTGTCTGGGCCCTGCCTAAAGTGTGGAAGGTAATCAGACTGTAGTCTGGCCCCTCTGGTTCAGGCCTCAGCCAGTCCAGTAAGGCCACCTTCTGGATCCAGTTTGGAGCTCTCAGACCTCCTGGGACTGGCCACCCAAGAAGCTGCCCAGGCCCTGACAGGGCCCCACAGACTTACATCACCAGGACAGAGCCTTGGGTAATGACTGTGGTGTCAGGTTAGCCAATCTTCTTTTTAATTGACATTGGGGCCACTTATTCTGCCCTCTCTGAATTCGCTGGGACCCTTGTCCACTCCTCAGTCTCTATTATGGGGGTTGACAGATTAGTCTCACAGCCATTAGCCACCTCACCTTTACACTGCATCTTACTAAATTCCTACATTCACTCTTCTCTCATTCTACCTCGGTGCCCAGCCAGGGCTATCATGCATTCCCTCAATAAAACCCAGTTGTCCCAAACCACAGTCACCTACCTCAGTTTCACTCTCTCACCCCACAAGGCCAAGCCATTCCTTGGACTGTAGATGCCTTATCTCCTTATCTCCTCTATGGCTGTCCCCTCTGAACAAGAAATTTTCTTCTTTCTCAGGCTCATTGGGTACTCTCACCTCCAGTTTCACAACTTTAGTCTTCTTGCTAAGCTCCTCTATGACATAATATGGTGATGGAACCCCTCACTGAGACTTTAGATCTGAAGGCCAACATTCTCACCCCCCTTAATGCTCTGAAAACTGCTCTGACCTCAGCGCCTTCTCACACCCCACCCCACCCCACTTTTCCCAAAGAACAACTTTCTTTACTGTACATGCTTGCTTAACAGTCCACTATTATAAAAAACTGAGTTCATTATCTCTCAAACTTTAGCATGTTATCACTAAGGAAAAATCCAGCAGGTTTTTTTTTTTTTTAATATATTTTATTGATTTTTTACAGAAAGGAAGGGAGAGGGATAGAGAGTTAGAAACATCAATCAGCTGCCTCCTGCATACCTCCCACCAGGGATGTGCCTGCAACCAAGGTACATGCTCTTGACCGAGATCGAACCCAGGACCTGTCAGTCCACAAGCCGATGCTCCATCCACTGAGCCAAACCGGTCAGGGCAATCCAGCAGTTTTGAATCCAAGTGGCTAGAGGTCTAAGAGCAGTCTGCAGGGCCTGTTCCCTCCTCCCTCTGCCTTTTCTTCAGCCTCATGTGCCTATACATAATTTTCCAAAGTCTTTATTACCGTATTTTTCGGACCATAAGATGCACTTTTTTCCCCCCAGAAGTGGGGGGGAAAAGTCCCTGCGTCTTATGGTCCAAATATAGCCTACACATATACTTTAAAAAAACAGTTTTTTTACTTGCCCGGCTCTATGTGATCTCTGTGTGCTTGCCCGGCTCTAAAATGGTTCTAAATGATGCTGTTTACTTTACAGGGTTGATTACATGTGTTTATGACTGTGATGTTGGGTTTTAATGCACATAAAATATTTTAGGACACTATTTGTTTCAGAATCTTTTTTTCTTCATTTCCCTTCTCTAAAAACTGATGCGTCTTATGGTCCGGAGCGTCTTATGGTCCGAAAAATACGGTAACTTAAAGATTGGAGCTTTGCTGGGTTAAGTGATAAACATTTAAATAATTTATAATAGCATACTATACTGAAACATGGATTGCTAGACACATTTTAATTCACCTGCTCTTAGTTTTTATCATAGAAGGTCTCTTGTACTTTGTTGAATGTGTATTTTCTTGAAACTAAGAGTGTGCGTAAAGTGTGTCAATCTAAGAAATTCTGGGGGAGGGTAGGGAGATATGGGGGAGATAAGAGATCAACCAAAGGACTTGTATACATGCATATAATCATAACCAATGGACACAAAACTCTGCGGAGGGAGGGCATGTATGGGAGTGGGGGGGGCAATGGTAAGATATGTACACATATAATACCTTAATAAAAATGAAAATAAAATAAAAATAAAAAAATTCTGGCTGTTTACTTTTTGGTTATCATTGAAAATTTAAGGTTTCTAAGAGTGAAGAATTCTAATACATTTAAAAAAAAGAAATGAAAGGTCTGTACAAGTTGCTGAAGGTGTGACAGAAAGAATATTAGAGTAGAAATACTTAATGGAAGGTCTGAGGCACAGTTATGCATTTTTGAAGGACATAGAAAGAAGATTTGAAGGCTAATTTGAAAGTGTGAAATTTATGAAGGTTGTGTATGTGATGAGAAGGAAAAGAGAAATGTTGAAATAAAGAAAGAAGTTCTAAAGTTAACTATTTACAAGAATTGTAAAAGGGCCATTTTACTCTGAACAAGAAAATGAGGTTTCAGTTGCCAAGCCTGGCAGGACAAAGTTGCTCGATACTTAAGCTAAACCAGAATATTCAGCAGCAGAATTTTAAGACAGGAGTGTACATAATGCCTCATCCTATTCTTCAGGTTAGCTGGGGGAGGGGAGGACATCTGTATTTCATGAGTCAAATGTATGTTTGCTTACTTTGCTTTTCAATAAAGGAGCATATTTTAATTACTTAATAAGTTAGCTTTTCACAATATAATCAAGGTCTCATATAAACTCATTCATATGAGTAGCCAATATTTTATGAGCAGTGGTTCTAGTAAAGTCCAAAGTAAAGTTTGCATATATATGCCAATGAGCACTAGCCAAAAAGAATGCTGTTTAGAAATAAATTTAATCTTAAAAAGAAGAAATTTAAAAATCTCTTCCACTACTGTTTATTGAGTAAACTAAAAGTTATTATTCAAGCATTAAATCTCACCATTAATAAAACACCATAAATAAAAAGAAAGTTACTTAGCCATGATATCTCTCTCTTACCTGTTTTTCTGGAAGATAACCAAGTTGGTTGCTCTGTTTGAAAGAATGTAAAAGTAAGTTAAGGTCTAAAAGTAAAAACAGTAAGGATTAAGGTTCAATAAAAATAAGAAGTTAAGCTTATAACCTTATATAATGGGAGATTATAACCTCAGGAAATTTAAAGTACTACCGTGTTTCCCGGAAAATAAACTTCCCCTAGGCTAAACATGAGATATTTGGTCCACTGATCCTGAAAGAAATGGAGTCACAAGAAATTCACCAGGAAATTCAGGAATTGGATTGTTATGATGATGTTCCAGAAGATGATGACATGATTGTCATTGTATAAATGAGTAAATTCTTGCCGGAACCAGTTTGACTCAATGGATAGAGCGTCGGCCTGCGGACTGAAAGGTCCCAGGTTCGATTCCAGTCAAAGGCATGTATCTTGGTTGCGGGCCCATCCCCAATAGCGGGTGTGCAAGAGGCAGCTGATCGATGCTTCTCTCTCATCGATGTTTCTAACTCTATCCCTCTCTCCTCCTTTCAGTAAAAAAAGTCAATAAAGATATATTTAAAAAAATAAAATAAATGAGTAAATTCTTGATACTGTAGGATTCACTGCTTGTCTGATTTGTGTTGACAACTACCATACTACCGTACCATATACAGGTAATAAATTTCCTTTATTTTAATTTAACAATAAATGTGTACCATATTCTTCTTCAGGGAAAAATAAGACATCCCCTGAAAATAAGACCTAGCGAATCTTTGGGAGCAAAAATTAATATAAGACACTGTCTTATTTTCGAGGAAACAGGGTAAATCTGACTAGACTGAGTGCGGTGGTTTCTTACAACTAATTGATCACACCTAGTCTAGTCTGCCTTACTTCTTATCCAACCATCCAGGTGCCTGGCCTCAACTGCTCTTTTCCTTCCCTTTTGCTTTCCCCTTGGATAGCAGCCCATTCTAGCATTTTACTGCAATAAAATCTCAGCCACTCATCTGTCACCTCTTATTGGTAGCGCCATGGTGACTACCCTCTTAGCTTGGAGCCTGGAACCAGGAAAGGGAATTTCATTACCTTTAGTCCACCTCTTAACCTTACATCTTTCAGCTTGTCTCCATGATCAGAAATTTTTCTTCCTCTGTGGGAAAAACACATACATTTGTCTCCCCATCAGCTGGACAGGAACCTGTACTCTCCTCTCTAACCCAATGTAGATGTAGCCCCCAATAATCAGTCTTTACCTGTCCCCGTAACCCATATCTGACACAAGAGAAAAGTCCTTTTTCCTAATAACCCTGGGCATCACAGCAGGGGTTGGAACAGCCATGGGGAGCTTAACCACTGCTCTACCTATTTTGAAATCCTGTCTCAGGACCTACAAGAAAGCTCTGGATACCCAGCAGAGGGCAAAACTGGGCAAACAAGAACCTCACCCCCAGAGTAACCTATTCCCCCTTTCATATCACTAGTCTCAGGCAACTGAGACCTCTAATCTTTCCCCCTCTAAAAATAACATCTAGCCGAAACCAGTTTGGCTCAGTGGATAGAGCGTCGGCCTGTGGACTGAAGGGTCCCGGGTTTGATTCTGGTCAAGGGCATGTATCTTGGTTGCGGGCACATCCCCGGTGGGAGGTGTGCAAGAGGCAGCTGATTGATTATTCTCTCTCATTGATGTTTCTAACTCTCTATTCCTCTCTCTTCCTCTCTGTAAAAAAATCAATAAAATATATATTTTAAAATAATAATAAAAAATAAAAAAATAAAATAATATCTAGGCCTCAGTTATATTTCAGCTCCAGGCCCAGAAAAGCAGCAAAACTAGACAAGTGATGCTGTGGCAGTCTCAGAACAAGCTTTTTCATCCCAAGTCACTCAGCGGGACCCTTTTTGAGCCTTCACCAACCAGTCTCTTGGGGAAATCTTGCTGCTGCACCCCTCATTCAGCCCACTACTATCAAAGACCATTGCCCTGTGATCTCCACATCCCCCCTAAGCAGGAATCAATTACAGAAGATATGACCTTTGCCACTATTCCATAAAACAAAAAGGCTGGAATGTTAGGTTTGATCAAGCAATTGAACTGATACCCCTTCCTTGGGAACTGGTTTTTCACGTCATTTCGCTATGGACATTCCCTTTGCTGAGACCACATTTCACTTGTGCTGACCACATTCCATTCTCTCCCCTCCTGGTATGCATAAAGAAGTCTCCACCCAGAAAAAAAAAGCCTGCCAAAAGTCCTTTAAAAGCCACTGACTCCTGTCACTGGATTCTGGAGCCATCCAGGCTCAGCCACCTGGTATGCGGATGATCAAATAAATTCATAATCCCTCATCACTCTGTCCTCATGCATTCCTCCTTTGGCGACCTAACACAGCCTACATACTGTCAGTTATTAGAGAATAGAAAAGACCTATCTATAGCCATTTGGGAAGCAGGAGGTAGATTCAAGTGTTCGGGTGGCTAAATAACCCAGGCACCTGTTTTTCCTGCCCAGTGATAATACAAACACAGATCCTTTAGGGGTGTCGAACTCAATCAGAGAAGGGGCCAAAATCTAAAATCCAGCCTAAATCGCGGGCCAAATGGTTTACTGAACAGTCATAAACTGTCATTGTGATGGAAACGCAGCGGAGTGCAGTGATGACAGCGCGGTGCAGGCCACATTGCAAGGCCTGGCGGGACGGATTTGGCCCGCAGGCCTTGTGTTTGACACATGTGCTTTAGGCAGTCCCTTTTTTGGAAGTTTGAAATATACAGAGCACGCCAAAACTGGTTTGGCTCAATAAAATATACAGAGCATCTGGAGGTGTCCCGTGTGTGTGTGTGTGTGTGTGTGTGTGTGTGTGTGTGTGTGTGTGTGTGTATGTGTGTGTGTGTGTATGAGAGAGAGAGAGAGAGAGAGAGAGAGAGAGAGAGAGAGAGAGAGAGAGTTGGAGGTGGAGGCCTTTCCATGAAGTCAGCCTCTGAGGTCACATAACCTCACAGTACTCAGAATTTTGAATTTTAAAAGCTGGTCACAATGTTCTGGTTTTCAAAAATATTATTTTTTTTCTCATTTTTTTTTATTAAGGTATTAATTGTGTACATACCTTACCAATCCCTACCCCACCCCCACTCCCATACATACCTTCCCTCCCCAGAGTTTTTCATCCATTGGTTTTGCTTATATGCATGCATACAAGACCTTCGGTTGATCTCTTATCTTCCCCATATCTCCCTACCCTCTCCGCTGTAATTTGACAGTCTGTTTCTTTTACTGTCTCTGTATCTATCCTTTTGTTCATCAGTTTATAATGTTCTTTATTATCCATAAATGAGTGAGATCATGTGGTGTTTTCCTTTCATTGACTGGCTTATTTCACTCAGCGTAATGTTCTCCAATTCCATCCAGGTTATTGCAAATGATAAGAATTCCTTCTTTTTTATGTCAGCATAGTATTCCATTGTGTAGATGTACCATAGTTTTTTTTTTATCCAATCATCTGCTGATGGGCATCTAGGCTGATTCCAAATCCTAGCTATTGTAAATTGTGCTGCTATGAACATAGGGGTGCATATATCCTTTTTTGATTGGTGTTTCTAGTTTCTTAGGATATATTCCTAGGAGTGGGATTACCGGGTCAAATGGGAGTTCCATTTTCAGTTTTTTGAGGAAACTTCATACTATTCTCCATAGTGGTTGCACCAGTCTGCATTTCCACCAGCAGTGCACGAGGGTTCCTTTTTTCTCTGCATCCTCGCCAGCACTAGTTGTTTGCTGATTTGTTGATGATAGCCATTCTGACAGGTACCACATTGTTGTTTTATTTGCATCTCTTGGATAATTAGTGACTTTGAGCATGTTTTCATGTGCTTTTTGGCCTTCCTTCTGTCTTCTTTTGAAAATATTCTATTTAGGTTCATTGCCAATTTTTTAATTGGATCATTTATTTTCCTTTTATTAAGTTGTATAAGCTGTCTGTAGACATTGGGATGTTGGAGATTAAGCCTTTATCAGTGATAACATTTGCAAATATGTTCTCCCATACAGTGTGCTTTCTTGTTTTGTTGATGGTTTCTTTTGTTGTAAAAAAGATGCTTATTTTGATGTAATCCCATTTGTTTATTTTCTCTTTAGCTTCCATTGCCCTAGGGGCACTATCAGTGAAGAAGTTCTTTTGGTATATGTCTGAGATTTTGCTGCCTGTGGATGTCTCTAGTATTTTTATGGTTTCCCGTCTTATGTTTAAGTCCTGTATCCATTTTGAGTTTATTTTTTTGTATGGTGTAAGTTGGTGATCTACCATGTTTCCCCGAAAATAAGTCATCCTCCAAAAATAAGACCTACTTACAGGTTGCCTTCTGAGTGAAATATAAGGCATCCCCCCCCCCAAAAAAAATAAGGCCCCCCTAGGCTAAACAGAGATTTGGTCCACTGATTCTGAAAGAAATGGAGTCACAAGAAATTCACCAGGAAATTCAGGAATTGGATTGTTATGATGATGTTCCAGAAGATGATGATATGATTGTCATTGAATAATTAGTAAATTCTTGATACTGTAGGATTCACAGTTTGTCTGGTTTGTGTTGACAACTACCGTACTACCGTACTGTATACAGATAATAAATTTCATTTATTTTCATTTAACAATAAATATGTATCATATTCTTTTTCATGGAAAAATGAGACATCCCCTGAAAATAAGATCTAGCGCATCCTTGGGAGCAAAAATTAATATAAGACACTGTCTTATTTTCGGGGAAACAAGGTAGTTTCATTCTTTTGCATGTATCTGTCCAATTTTCCCAACACCATTTATTGAAGAGATTGTCTTTGATTCCATTGTATGTTCATGCCTCCTTTGACAAATATTAATTGACCATAGTGATTTGGGTTGATATCTGGATTATCTATTCTATTCCACAGATCTGTATGTCTGTTCTTGTGCCAGTATCAGGCTGTTTTGAGAACAGTGGCTTTGTAATACAGTTTGAAATTTGGTATTGAGATACCTCCTACTTTACTGTTCTTTCTCAGGATTGCTGTGGCTATTCAGGGTCTTTTTTTGTTCAAGATGAATTTTTGGAAAGTTCTTTCTAGGTCTGTGAAATATGCCGTTAGTATTTTAATGGGGAGTGCATTGAATCTATAAATTGCTTTGGGGAGTATGGACATTTTGATGATGTTGATTCTACCAATCCATGAACATGGTATGTTCTTCCATCTGATTACATCTTCCTCTATCTCTTTATTTCAGTGTCGTGTAGTTTTCCGTGTATAGGTCTTTTACCTCGTTAGATAAGTTTATTCATAGGTATCTTAATTTTTTTGGTTCGATGGTAAATGGGATTGCTTTTTTAATATCTTTTTCTATAAGTTCATTATTGGTGTATAGAAGTGCCATAGATTTCATGGCTTTAATTTTGTACCCTGCTACATTGCCAAATTTATTTATTAAATCTATCCGTTTTTTAATGGAGTCTTTGGGTTTTTTATGTACAATATCATGTCATCTGCAAATAAGGACATTTTTAGTTCTTCTTTTTCAATTTGGATGCCTTTTTTTTCTTCTTGTCTAATTGCAATTGTTAGTACTTCCAGTACTATGTCAAACAGTAGTGGTGAGAGTGGGCATCCCTGTCTTGTTCCTGCTCTTAGAGGGAATGATTTTAGTTTTTGCCCATTCAGTATGATGTTTGCTGTGGGTTTATCATATATAGCTTTTATTCTGTTGAGGTATGATCCTTCTATTCCCACCTTGTTTAGAGTTTTTATCAGGAAAGGGTGTTGGATTTTATCAAATGCTTTTTCTGCATCAATTGATATGACTATATGATTTTTATCTTTCAATTTGTTTATGTGATGTATCACGTTTACTGATTTGCAGCTATTGTACCATCCTCACATTCCCGAAATAAATCCTATTTGCTCATGGTCTATGATGATTCTGATGTACTATTGGAGGCAATTTGCTAGAATTTTGTTGAGTATTTTGGCATCTAAGTTCATGAGGGATATTGGCCTGTAATTCTCTTTCATTGAGTTGTCTTTATCTGGTTTTGGTATTAGGGTGATGCTGGCTTCATAGAAGGAGTTTGGAAGTGTTCCTTCCTCTTGAATTTTTTGAAATAGTCTGAGGAGGATCGGTTTTAGTTCTTCCTTGAATATTTGGTAAAACTCTCCTGTGAAGCCATCTGGCCCTGGGCTTTTGTTTGCTGGAAGCTTTTTGATGACTGTTTCAATTTCTTACCAAGTCACTGGTCTATTGAGATTTTTAGATTCTTCCTGATTGAGTTTTGGAAGTTTATATTTTTCTAGGACTATGTCCATTTCCTCCAGGTTGTTCAGTTTGTTGGAATAGAGTTGTTCATAGTATTTTGTAACAATCCCTTGTATTTCGGTGCGGTCTGTTGTTATTTCTCCTCTTTCGTTTCTGATTTTGTTTATTTGAGTCCTCTCTCTTTGTTTCTTGGTTAGCATGGCTAGAGGTTCATCAATCTTGTTTATCCTTTCAAAGAACCAGATCTTGGTTTTGTTGATCTTATGTATTATTTCTTTGGTCTCTATATGGTTTATCTCTGCTCTGATTTTTATTATTTCCTTCCTTCTGCTTACACTGGGATTTTCTTGTTGCTCTTTTTCTAACTCTTTGAGTTGTAGAGTTAGATAATTTGTTACCATTTTTTTCTTGTTTTTGCAATAGGCTTGTAGGGATATGAACTTCCCTCATAGACTTTGGATTGTTGTGTTTTCATTGCCATTTGTTGCCAGGATGTTTTTAATTTCTTCCTTGATTTCTCTGGTAACTCAGTCCTTGTTTAATAGCATGCTGTTTAGCCTCCAGGTGTTTTATTTCTTTGGATTATTTTTATTGTAGTTGATTTCCAATTTTATGCCACTATGATCTGAGAAGAAGCTTGATATGATTTCTATCTTCTTGAATTTGAAGACACTTTGCCTATGTCCCAACATGTGGTCTATCTTTGAAAATGACCCATGTGCACTTGAGAAGAATGTATATTCTCTGGCTGTGGGGTGGAATGTTCTGAAGATGTCGGTTAATTCCATCTGGTCTAGCGAGTCACTTAGGATTGATATTTCTTTGCTGATTTTTTGTTTAGATGATTTGTCCAAAGGTGACAGTGGGGTATTAAAATCTACTATGATTGTATTGCGATTAATCTCTCCCTTAATGTGCTCCAGCAGTTTTTTTTTTTTTTAATGTATTTTGCTGCTCCCGTATTGGGTGCGTATATGTATGTTTACCAGGGTCATTTCTTCTTGTTGGATTGCTCCTTTTAGTATTATGAAGTGGCCTTCATTATCTCTTGTTATGTCCTTCACTTTTAGATCCAATTTGTCAGAAATAAGTATTGCTATCCCATCTTTTTTTTTTTCTTTTCATTTCCATTCCCCTGAAAAACCTTTTTCCTTTCCTTCCCCCTCAGTCTGTGTGCATCTTTTTTCTGAAGTGGGTTTCTAATACACAAAATATTGTTTTCTTATCCAATCTGTTACCCTATGTCTTTTGATTGGAGCATTTAAACCATTTACATTTAAAGTTATTAATGATAGGTACTCATTTGACGCCATTTTTATTCTATACCCCTGTGTTCCTTCTTCACTTTCTATTTCTTTATTTTTACAGTAGACCCTTTAGCATTTCTTGCATTGCTGGTTTTCGTGGTGATCAATTCCTTTAGTCTTTTTTTGTCTGTGAAGCTCCTGATTTCCCCTTCAATTTTGATTGATAGGCTTGCTGCGTACAGTATTCTTGGATTCAGACCCTTCCTTTGCATGACTTTGTATATTTCATCCCATTCCCTTCTGGCCTGATGAGTTTCTGTTGAGAAATCAGTTGCTAGTCTGATGAGGGTTCTTTTATATGTAACTTTCTGTCTCTCTCTGGCTGCTTTTAAGATTCTTACTTTGTCGTTGTTGTTTGCCAATTTAATTATAATGTGCCTTGGCGTCAGTCTTCCGGGATTCATTTTTCTTCGGTCTCTGTGAGCATCTTGGGTTTGTGTGGGTTTTTTCTTCTATATCTTAGGAAAGTTTTCTGTCATTATTTCTTGTAACAGGTTTTCTATGCCTTCCTCAGTTTCCTTTCCTCTGGATCCCCTATTATTCTAATATTGTTTTGATTTGTATTGTCCTAAAGTTCCTGTAGGTTCTTCTCCTGCTTTTCAAATTTTTTTTTTTTCTAGAAGCTGCTCTAATTGGGTATTTTTTTCCATCTTGTCTTCTAGCTCACTGATTTGGTCCTCTGCTTTTTCTAGTCTACTTTTTATGCTTTGTATTGAGTTCTTTAGAGTAGCGATGTCATTTTTCATTTCTTCTTGGTTCATCTTCATTTCCTCTTGGTTCTTCTTCATTTCCTCTTGGTTCTTACTCATATTGTCAAATTTGTCTTCCATTATTTTTCACCATTTTTTGATCATTACTCTGAATTCTTGCTCTGGTAGTTTGCTTGCTTCTAACTCATTTACTTCCTTTTCTAGTGATGCCTGCTTTTCTTTCATATGTGGGCTGTTTCTTTGTCTCCCTATGATCTCTCTTTTCAGGATGTCTTGTTATGTAGTTCTCTCTCTCCTGCGTTGATTTAAAGGTACAACACACAAGGCACTGAACAAAAATGTGTTTGCGACATTAATAACCTCCAATAAAGGCATTAGAGAAAGGC